ATCTTGAGAAAAGAAAAAGAAGGAGAGGGGGGAAGAGAGAGAGATAGAGTAGGAAAGAAAAAAATATAGAGGGGGGGTTGCGGCGATTGAGGAGTAGAAAAGAGAGGGGAGATGGGGAAGGAGAAGAAGGGTAATTTTGGAAGAGTAGGTATGAAAAAGTAGAGTAGAAAGATTTTTCCGGACGAAAAAAAAGGTAGAGTAGAAAATTTATTCTTGGACGGAGAGAGTAACAAATAAAAAATATTATTCGTGTTCAAATTTGATTTTTCGAATACGAATCAATACAAACAAATCACAGATCGAATCAAAATTATTTAATTCCTTTACAATCATAGCTCTAGGCCTGTTTAGGCCGTGCAAAGGAAGAATGTCCCGAACAAGGGGTCCATTTTAATAGAGGTAATGTACCCGTGGGAAAGAGTTTTGTTTTTTTACCATTTTAATGGAGTTAATATACCTATTGGTAGATTCCCTATGAAAAAATGGACATGAAATATGAATCTCACATAATTTCTTGTGAGATAAACATTAAAAATATTGTAAAATAAGAGTTTTATATTTTTATTTCTAACATAGAAGTCATGTTGCATTACTTTACCTTTCTTTTTTCCTTTTAACAACTAAAAAATATATTTACATATGATTACTATACAATACTCCGTAACATTATATATTCAAATTTATAATACATTACATCAAACACCAACAAAGACTAATTTTTTTATATGCAAAATTAATTCTTTATTCATATTTATTTGAGTGATCATTTAATTGAGTTATTTTTTAAATATTTTATTTTTCCAATATTTTTCAATTTTTTTTTTGATTTCTTTCCACTCATTCCAATTTTTTCCATTTCTTAAAGAATACAGTACTATTTAGTAAGGACTATAGGGCTGTAAACGGATAGCCGAAAATCTGATTACCGTCCGCATCCGTATCCATTTAAAGAGAAAATATCCGCATCCGTTTTGAATGGATATTATCCGTATCCGATTACTAAACGGATACGGATTTGGTAATTGTATATCCGATCCGTTTAAAATCCGATCCGCATATGCATCCGTTTAAATAACCGTTTATCCGAATATCCGATCCGTTATATATAGTTTTTCCTAATTTTTTATGTTTATATTTTGTTTTTCTATTGATATTTCAAAATATAAGACATTTTTAAATACAAAATAAATGTGTACACATAAAAATATATACAGACATATAAAAATATGTGTATATATGTGTTGTGTATATCTTTTTATCATATAAAGTTATTGTAGAATATCAGAAATCATGAAAACAAAGAAAATAATTATCTCATAACAAATTATAGTTGATTTAATAATAGTTTGACTNAACGGATATTATCCGTATCCGATTAAGGATATCCGATTACTAAACGGATACGGATTTGGTAATTGTATATCCGATCCGTTTAAAATCCGATCCGCATATGCATCCGTTTAAATAACCGTTTATCCGAATATCCGATCCGTTATATATAGTTTTTCCTAATTTTTTATGTTTATATTTTGTTTTTCTATTGATATTTCAAAATATAAGACATTTTTAAATACAAAATAAATGTGTACACATAAAAATATATACAGACATATAAAAATATGTGTATATATGTGTTGTGTATATCTTTTTATCATATAAAGTTATTGTAGAATATCAGAAATCATGAAAACAAAGAAAATAATTATCTCATAACAAATTATAGTTGATTTAATAATAGTTTGACTTTAATCTAATTTAAAAATAAAGTATTTTTTTATTTGATTTTAAAAATTGGAAACGGATACGGATATATCCGATATCCGACGGATGCGGATACGGTTTTGATTTTCAGTATCCGTCAAGATCCGTATCCGAATTCGATATCCGACAAAAATAAACGGATACGGATTTGGTAATGGCACATCCGATCCGATTAATATCCGTTTACAGCTACTAGTCCAACGGATAATGGTGAAAGGGAAGCGTTAAACCCATAGAATTTGCTCCCGGAATTGACTCGTTATTCGTAATTGGCGTGCTATAATACGCACCGGCCCAGTTTAATCCCTTCTTCACGCTCCCTTCAACAGCCTCTAGCCGCCCCTTGGAAGCCGCCACCTCATCGCCGTCGCCTGTCTCCCATGGCTTCTCCGGACTCTTCGAACCCCCTTCCCACCAACGACCAACCTAAAGAAGAAGAAGAAGGCCAGGAATCTGTCGGAGTGAAAGTCTCCAAAAAGGAGGCTAATAAGCTGGAGCGCCAGCGCCGCCGCCAGGAAGCCGCCGCCGCCGCTGCCCGTTTGTCAGCCGTCTCCATCGACAACGCTCCCGATCCACTCGCCGCCAACTACGGGGACATCCCCATGGATGAGCGCATGTCCAAGTCAGTCACCGGACGCAAGTGGACATATATCAGCGATCTGACGGCGGAATTGAAGGACAAGGAGGTCCTCATCCGCGCTAGGGTTCAGGCTATTCGCGAGGTCGGGAAGAAAATCGCCTTCATTGTGCTCAGGAAGTGCGGCTTCACCGTGCAATGCGTGTTGACTGTGGCACCTGATCTCGTCAGTCCGCAGATGGTGAAGTATGCTACCAGCCTGAGCAAGGAATCCATAGTTGACGTGCTAGGAGTTGTCTCTATCCCTAATGTTGAAATCAAAGGCGCTACTCAGCAGGTACCATATACTCCCTCCTTCCACCTAAGATCTTCCCATTACACGTTACGAGGCTTGACCGACTTTATTTTTAATTCAATTTAATTGATTATAGGAATAAAATTTTAAAATAAAATTTAAATAGTAATAAACTACATGAAAAATTTTACAAAACTAGAGGTGACAAGATTATATTATTTTACGAAATGACTAGTAAAAATGAGCAAATAAAGTGAGTGAAGTTTGACCCTGTGAATAATAACTTGGAAGATCTATGCTGGACAGAGGGAGTACAATTGGGAATTTTACTACTTGCTTTTATGTTAATAGTTCCCGACTTTGGGGTATGCTCATTTACGAGTTAAAGATACTACTCATATTGCATTTTTTATATACTTAGAGCATGTACATTATGAAATTGAGGCGTGCACATTTAATAATTGCATAATACCCATTTCATCTCTAAAATAAAATTTCAAAATGTTGCTAATGACAATTCCAATCAATGAAAGAATAAAAATGTAATTTTGAATATGAAATTACAGTTTTCTAATTTCTATAAATGCTTAGAACATACACATTATAAAATTAGATGTAAGCACATTTGGAAGTTATGTTGTTATACTTCTTCCGTTCCTAAAAAACTGTATTGTTTTCTTTTTTAGCTTGCCCCAAAAAAAGTCTCTACCATACAATTTTGTTGTTTTTAAGCTCTCTGACAATCAAAGAGTATAATACATATTGGACATACATAAAAGTATACTTTGATTTACCTTGTTTGTTCTAAAAGTTCTCAAGATTGTTGTTTTCCCTTTTCCTCAAGGTTGAAGTTCAAATACGCAAACTGCATTGTCTCGACAGGGCTGCACCAACACTACCTATCAACATAGAAGATGCTTCAAGAAGTGAAGCTGACATAGAAAAAGCGGCGCAGGTGGACATCTTGTATCCTGGAAAACCTGATTGGTTTTATCTTCATAAAGTGTACCTTTGATTTTCAGAACGTTATGGGCCTGTTTGAGCTTATATTTTCATTGATTTATAAGATTAAAAAACCACGATATTTAGTGTGAAATCTTTTCTTGTTATGCAGGAGGGGAAGCAACTTCCTCGTGTGAATCAGGACACTCGTTTGAATCATAGATATATTGATACTCGTACTGATGCTAATCAAGGCATCTTTCGTGTTCAATCTGAAGTTGGAAATGTATGCCATCAATATCCTGTCTTAGCATACCATTCCATTCTTTTCTTTCAAAATCCCTACATGAAATGTTTTTCAAGTTATTTGGTGCTGCATTTTGAAGTTCATGTATATAAATGACCAGCAAGTCTCGACTGAAATTCTGGATTTAGCATCCTTCCCAGAAATGTTATGCTTAGAGAAAAAGTATTCCTTTACTTAGAAATATTAGTTTTATACTACAATTATATTTTAAAATAACCCTGACTTATAAGCGGATTTAAAGAAAAAAGCGGATGCATCATTCTTTGAAGCTCCAACCTCACATGGGCTGGTAGTCTGGTCTTCTGCCCATTGATACTTGCTCACACATATGTTTTATGTGAGTTTAACTGTAGTGTAATGTGCACGGGTTCTATATAGTCTGTCTCAAGATGTCTTAAGCCACCCACTTACTCCCTTAGTCCCACATAAAAATTCACTCTTTCCTTTTTCATTCGTCCCAAGAGAACTTCACACATTATATACTTTCTCTTAAAGAAAGGAATGGGTGTTTCACAACCCTTCTCTCTCTTCTGAACAAATTTTAACTATAAAGTTTTCATTTTTTAACAATTATCTAAGTTATCTTGAACTCCGTGAAAGTCAAAGAAGGAAGGTTTTTGTGGGACAGTGAGTATAATTATGAGTAATGTTCATTAAAGTGAAATAGGAATCATGACTAAGTAACTTACTCAATTTAATACCATTTTTAATTGAGTTTTATTTTTTAACGATTCAGGCTTTTAGGGATTTTTTGCTAACTGAAGGATTTTGTGAAATCCACACCCCCAAGTCAATTAAAGGCTCTAGTGAAGGCGGTGCAGCTGTCTTTAGATTCTTATACAAGGGCCAAGAGGCTTGTTTGGCACAGTCACCTCAGTTACACAAGCAAATGGCTATATGTGGAGATTTTAACCGTGTCTTTGAAATAGGACCTGTTTACAGAGCAGAGGATTCTTTCACACACAGACATCTGTGTGAGTTTATTGGGCTTGATGTTGAAATGGAGATAAATGAGCACTACTTTGAGGTATAAATTATATTCCTTAAAGTTTGAATTCAGAAAGCTATGATGATTTTTCTGCTAGGAGTCTGCTGGGTGCTTTATATTTCAATGAATTACTGTTTTCATTCCTAAGGGTTTCATAAGAATACACCGTAATAGTTTCTATGGTTGGGTTGGGGATCTCTTAGAAGACTATACTTCATAGTAAGGGTAAAGTCTACGTACACATACCATCATAAACCCTTGTGGGATTTTATTGGGTTTGTTGTTGTACACCGGAATAGTTTCAATGATATGGATGGACAAAGGCATTGGCCTTTTATATGTGCCAGACTAAATGATAAGGGGAATTCATGGATCAGGTATATTGTGCAGGTGATGGATATTGTCGATAGACTATTCGTATCATTGTTTGACAGATTGAATAAGAACTGCAAGAAGGAACTTGATGCCATCGGCAGGCAATATCCCTTTGAACCGCTAAAGGTAATCCTATGTAGTTGATCTTTGATCTTAGCTTGGTAAATTCTTTTTTTTTTTTGTAATATGTTTGGCTATGCATGATAAGTAAGGAGCTGCTTTTCCTTGTGGATAAGGAATACTCCCTCCATCATATATCTTTCTTCCTTTTCCCTGAAATGAAAAGACTATTCAGCTTTCTTTATAACTAAAAGATTATTTTACCTTTACTTTTGCACTATTCACCATTTTTACGTCTCTTCAATTTCCTAACATCACCATGGACAAATGGAATTCAAACATATTTTATTTGACATTAAAAAACGTGTCAAGTCAAAACAAGAAAGATATGGGATGGATGGAGTATTATTAATCACACAGTTATATAATGTTTCTTGTGCTGAATTGCCACTGCAATTTATTCACTCGTGGACTAATTATTAAAATTGAATGACTGCAGTATTCGAGGAAGACTTTACGTCTTACTTTTGAAGTAGGGGTTCAAATGCTGAAGGTGAGAAATCCTTATCTATTGCATGATATTTTCACATGCTATGGAACATTTCTGTTCCGTGTATTAATTTTATTCATTGATGGGATGATGAGACATGGTCGGTATGTTTAATGCAAGCCAAGTAATTAGAATTACCAGTAAAAAATATTGTATTTCTAATGTGTAGTGATTTAAGTCATACCCAGAGTATTAAATTCCTTACACCTAAAATAAAAAATCTTTATCAAAATTTGGGATGGTCAATTTAATTGAATTAATCACCCCTCTTCTATATCATCCCTTACTCTTTATCATTAAAAATCTCAGGAAGCTGGAGTCGATATTGATCCCTTTGGAGACCTAAATACCGAATCTGAGAGAAAGTTGGGCCAGCTTGTTTTTGAGAAGTAATTAATCCCTATCATTTTTATTTGATACTGATTCTGTGTGTTTTATTTTGGGTCCCTTGTGGTTATGCTAAATTTGTGTTGCACTGTTGCCCATGTGTAGGTATGGTACAGAATTCTATATACTTCACCGATATCCATTAGCAGTTCGTCCATTCTATACCATGCCTTGCTATGACAATCCTGCCTACAGCAATTCTTTTGATGTCTTCATCCGAGGTAGTAATAATAATAATAATAATAATAATAATAATAATACTCCGTAATATAAAAAGGCCATGATTGTTTTACATTTATGGGTGTCATTATATGATTCCAACACCCCAGTGCTCGTGCTACGCTACTATGTTGGGCCTCAAAGTGATATCCTGTAGTGTTTGATATGCTATAGTGAACATATTGACAAAATTTGGGGGAGGGGGGCTTGGGGCCGGCCGCTGTCATAACATGACACCAAGAGTGGGTGTCAAAAGATCTCTACTCATAATAATGTGTCCAAAACTTGGTTAAAACTACCATTTGTTTCGATTGAGTCACATGGGATATCTTTTTATGTGAGAGTAATAGAAGTCCGGGAAATATGCACATTGGTTACCTTATACATGATAGGCCCAAAAGTACCTAGAAGTAAAAAAGAGAAACATCTTCAGTTCATGATAGTAATAATGATAATAATAATAACAACAACAACAACAATGAAATTGATCTTTTGACCTTGAAACAATGCTCCGTTAGTAAAATCGATGATTCCTACCCCTAAAACGGAGCACTGTACGGTGCTCCGGGGTCATAAAATGATGTCGTCTTCAATGTAAAAAGATCCTTCCCGTAATAGTAATAATAATAATAATAATAATAATAATAATAATAATAATAATAATAATAATAGGAACGATGATTATTATACCAAAAATAGGGAAAGCCATTAACCTCACAAGTTAGGGGCCAGAGTATTTAAGAAAAGGTAGACCTGCTGCCAATTAAACATGGTTATCATGGTGACAAGTCGATTCGAGGACGTGAAGAGGAGACAATTGGACATTTGGACTAATCGACAAATTGCAATTAGTAATGATATTTTTAACATTATTTATATCTTCATTCACCAAAGATAACTCTAAAGAAAATTATGTTTAAAGGTAGCACATAAACTCACATAACAAAGGGTACAAAAGAAACAAATACCCTTCAATCTTCAAGAACAACACGCCAACAAAGATAACAAGCACAGAAAGAACATAGTAAAATATTTTATTCCGTGTTTTGAGCTATCAGATATCATCTTCCAACGCTATGAGCTATGCCTTTTATTTTTAAAAAATTAATCAAATTTAGATCGGGTTGGGTTGGGTCAAATTGGGTAGGGTTCAATCATTGACTAGTCCTTGCCTAGGCGTTGCTTTGAACAACCGGACAACTAGTCTCCTTCATTCGCCAGGTGACACTCAAGTTGCGCTCTCCAATATGCCAAGATGACTAGTCGTTGACTAGGCAACGGAATAACCATGCAATTAAACAGTGCCTGAATTGAAGATTTGTTTTCCTTTTCAGGGGAAGAAATAATCTCAGGGGCTCAGCGTATCCATATGCCTGAAATGCTGGCTAAGCGTGCAGAGGAATGTGGGATTGATGTTAAAACAATATCAACATACATTGATTCGTTCAGGTAGAAATTTAGTAGTATTACTGAGATGATAAGATGGATTTTGTTGGTTGTTTGCATCGCTTTAGCTCATAAGTAAGCCCCTTTTTTTTATAGCCCAAGCTACTTACTTTTTTAGAACTCCCTCAAAATCTCCTCCCCACGTTTTGTTGGGGGATCAAACACTGGTGAGTACTGAGTAGCCCCAGATTGCTCCTTTATCCATTCGACCAAGTGGGTCTCGAGCTCTTAAGGCCTTGTTTGGGAATATATATATTTTTTCAAGTAGTGCAGATTAACTTTGATTTGAAAATGCTGAACTTAAACGTTGTTGTTAGATAGTGTTTTCAAAACGTGAAAGCATTTGTGGTCCACATTTTCTTATTGTAGGTACGGTGCACCTCTACACGGAGGATTTGGAGTGGGATTGGAGCGGGTGGTGATGCTCTTCTGCGCGCTCAACAACATCAGGAAAACGTCACTATTCCCTCGTGACCCGCAGAGGATTGCACCATGATCAGCACAACGTACCAAAGCTGCATCTTGCCATAATAATAATAAAAATGATAATATGGTGTATGATCTCCTCCTGTTCAAAGAATCACATAATGTGAATCTGCATGCCCCTTTATTTTGGAACCCATACTTTCCTCTCTCATATATAGATATACCGGATGTATTAATTACTCCGTATGTTTGTGTTATTTTAAATCGGATAAGCTTACATTTTACCGATCAAGCAGTTTCTCTTTTTCTATGTCTCTCTTTTTCCTTTCTCTGGTAATAGTGGTCTTATTAAGTATACTCTTCTCTTGAATAAGTATTCATTCATTTTCACTAGAATCCATGCCAAAGGAGCTGGTATTGTGCAAGCTAAGTGTCTGCACCTACCTTCTCCATTAAAGCTAAACATGGGGTATATTCTAACAACTCCGTATGGAAAACATTTTATTTATACATTTGTAATCTATTAGAGCTCGTAAAATTACTATTCACACCACAATGAAGTATTTATTTATGAACTATTTATTTATTATATGAAATCATGCAATTTATATTTTAACATGTTTTAAACCTATATACATGTAATTATATTAGCTTCTTCTCTTCACCAGATTTGATTGTATTTTATTTGATTTTATTAAGGTTATATTTGGTTTGATTTTATTCTAGTTATATTTGAAGTTATTTTTCATTTGATCTGGTCTCATACTCTTATCTGATCACGCTATGAATAAATAAGATTAAACTCTATAATAGTTCTTTTGTAATGTAATATGTGACTTTCCATATTTAGTCTTTCATTTGACCTTCTAACATGTTGCCATGTTGGGGTTTAAGGACTATATAAATGTAATTTTACATTAACATCATGTCCAATGATGTATTTTGATGTCCGTTTGATGAGCAACACTATAATAATGGCTATGCATTTTGATGTCGTTTAAGAGTTTGAATCTCTTTTCTATTTTTTTTAAATTGTGATTTTATTAATTTTAGTTTTAGAATTATGGATGAGTTTAAACTATTGAAATGTGACACCACCATTTGCAATTTTTGAGTTCGCTACTGATTTTATGATTGTGGTCATTAACAAGTATTGGATAGTGATTCAAAGGTAGGACACTTGTTAATTAGTACTCCGTAACAAATATTTCAACATTATTCCTTCTTTATTTATTAATGACTCAAAGGCCCGGCAAGACATTCCTATCAAATATTTGAACATTATTCATTCTTTATTACAATAATTAGTAACATACACGAAGAAATAAAAGTACGTACACATATAATAACTATAACGATAAAAATCTGATAATATGATGGTCCAAATGACCAATTAATTATTTAAGTTGATGGACAAATTAAACAGGTGTGAATCGATCACTCGATTTTGATGGACGTCTACGAAGATGATGATGGAACATCTGGTGGTGGAGGGGGAGGGGTTTCAAGTTTGACGACTCTCTTACTAAATTTGTCCCACATATATTTGGCGACTTTCTCTTCATTTACCGTCTCGCCAGGATACGAAACCACACTCATTATGTTCTTCTCGTAATCCAGACCCACTTGTTTCACTCCTGCATGCAGTGCATGAGATTTATTCCATATTGATATACGTACAATAATACATCAAATCAATGCAAACAGCAAACATATATCTCAAGTGATGAAATTGCAGCATCAGCTAAATTTATCATGACCTAGTGTCTTCAGGCTCGGGTCAAAGCATTCAATGGGTTATGAGATTTATTTATTTTTGAAAAATTTATGTTCATACATGTTCGCGTTGTTTTTAAAACATGTAGGAATGACTTATAAATTAAGAGAAATAAAATTGTGTATGTATTTACTTGATATTTATATTGATAAGTAAGCTTAACTAAAAATAAATGGAACCACACAAACATAACTAAATACGATATGAGATACTCGATCGTAAAAACAATAAAACAAACAAAAACAGGTCAAAAAGAACAAAAATGGAGCAACTTGGAAATACTCCTTTGTCCTAATCGATTCAAATTGAATGAACTTTAACTATCAAATACTCTAAATTTATATTATATTACACATGAATATAGTGATATAAAATTTGGAAAGGTCACTAAAAAAAATAAATCTAGTTAAACCATATATTTTTATACTAATACAACACTACAATTTTTATCCATTTGAAGTTCAAGTTAACTAAAATCTATTCAATTTAAATATAAAAAAATTAAACTAAACAAATATATATGATGAGATATATATACTAGCACAACTTAGCTTATACATACCCCTAACGTTTTTCTCAAGAGCGCGCGGTATTTTCTTGCAGCCATCGCACTTGCATAAATTGACGTAAAAGTACACCACCACTGATTGCGTCGCCATTTATATATAAATATGTATTGACGTAATTAAGTATTAATTATATATGTATTTTAAAAGCAATAATTATTTTAGTTTATTTTTTGTGGGCGTATTGAAACAAATACGTACTTTAGTTATAAGAATGTGTATATACGAAACTACGCTCAGAGTATATATATACACACACACATATATGTTCTCACATTTAATTTGCAGCAGGCCATAAATTAATATTAATAAATTTATTACGTGCACCTTATTCATATACATATGTATATCGTACTCCCTTCATCCCAATTTAAATCGTCTGTTTTGACTTTTGGGCATATTTAAGAAAAATAAAAAATAGAGTTGATTTTCCAAAATTGACATTAATTTTTAGGAGAGGTAATGATGAATGAGAAGATAAAGTGAAAAAGTGACTTATTTTAGAGGTTGTTTAAGTATTTTATTTTTAAAAGTTTACGAAAACAACTAACAGACAACTTATTTTCGGACGGAGAAAAAAGACAAACAGACAATTTAAAATGAGACGGAAGGAGTACGTCATTAACTTGTCAATGTGCGAGCGAGTCATTAAAAAATATAATTTCCCCGTGCCGAGTCATTATTTAACAAGATTATTGCAAGCTTTAGTACCCACTATGGTTAAGGTTCCAACTCTACTAAAAATTTATTTATTTTTTCTTAAAAACTAATCGGTAGTGTAACTTTTTTTTTCAAATTTTTATTAATTTAAATACAGATGTTGCATCATCATTTATTGATTTTTCGAATTAGTTTCTTATTTCAGTTTATTTTAAAAAATTGATTTGTTTTTTCTTTTGCATCTTCAATTCCTTATAAGCTTATTAAAAATTGATTTTTTTTGTTTAAGTTTTTAAAAAATGGATTGTAAGAGCATTGGCAGGGGCGAGTAAAAAAATTGCCTCGCCCTGCCACGAGAGGAGAGCCGCTTCTGGCAGCAGCGTGGGAAGAGAGAGGAGTCTGCCATGCGTGTTTGCTTTGCGAGGCACCCTGCTTTGCGAGGCATCCGCGAGGCAAATCCAAAGCCCTCCGCCACTGTTAGATCTGCAACCCCAGATCTGACCCTCCGCCATCCGAGATCTCCAATTTTGCCGTGTCACGCCTGACTTGCCATTGCAAAACCATGGAATGCCACACTCTTTGCCCGCTTGATTTGATTGGTTGGAAGGTAACACGTCATCCCATGGCATTCCATTACAATACTCGCCATTGTCAATGCTCTAAAGTGAATCTCGCTTCGTAAATGAATCTTTCCTGAGTTTGCTTCTTCCGTCAAAAAAATTGATTTTCCTTTCAAGTTATCTCATTATTTTAGAACTGCGTTGAATCTTTGGTTTTTTTCCAAGATTCAATATTGGTATTTTTGAATAAACACAAATGCAAAAAAAGGATGAGGTTTGACAATATCTGTTTTTAATTTAACAATTTTGGTCATAAATTATTACTCCCTCCGTCTCAAAACTTTCTTCCAATTTTGGTTTAATTATGAAACTTGACTGAAATTATTTTCAATTCAATTTATTTGATTATAAGCATAAAATTTTAAAAAATTATATATTTATAGAGTAGATGAATGATTCTACAAAATAAGAAGTGACATTAGTGTATCATTTTATCAAATACGTACAGTAACTAACAACAATAAGTAAAGAAAATAATTAAAGTTTAGCAATGTAATTAAAGTTCTACCCAGAAGGCATAAAGTAAATTACAAAGGGCCTTCTAAAGTCATTGAGCGGCCCTAAATATTTAGTGTTTTTGTTAAAAAATCAAACACACAATACACGAATGTATCTGTATATGTACTCCGAACGTATAATACAACATATTTTAAAAAATGATCTGTACTATACACGAACGTACAAATAGACGTATTATTCCTGTATCTGAATAAGCTAACAAAGGTTTTCTTTCCTCTCCTAATTTCTCATTATTTATTAATCCAAACACCAATCATTTTCTTTTCATTTTCTCTTCATTTTTCTATCTTTGTTTTCTTTCCATTCATTTTCTCACTTTATCCAAACAAACAAGACTCAAGAGATAGAGAAAGAGATAGCAGAGCGGAAATTAGGATTTGCTAATTAGCATTTTGCTGGGAGAATCAGATTATTGGGCATGAAGCCGTACATAGGTTTCTGTAATGGTTTCAACCTGTACTGGTCCAGCTTCAATTTCTTAAAAGTGTCAAAGTATATGAGTATAGGACGTTGACACTGCTCCCTGTGTAAACCAAAACTCTCGCCATGTCATTGTGTAAGCCATATTAACACCGATCCAGCTTCAATTTCTTAAAAGTGTCCAAGGTACTAAATATTTTTTCAGTTGAATTTTATATTGCGTGGGTGCTATTTGTAGTGATGACTTCATATCTCTATGTTACATTTCTTTGCAATAAATGAGACACTTAAGAGTCAACAATTGCTTTTTTGAATACATTACCATAAGAAAAAAGACTAAACTAGGAGTAAAGCATTGAAGATATACTAATCCAGAGGTTATGGGGGATCTTCACCCTATTGCTCTGTGTAGGGTTCTCTATAAAATTATGAGTAAGATGATCGCTCTTCGGCTCAAAACTCTCTTACCTAAGATTATTTCCTTGAATCAAAGCGGTTTTGTAGCAGGGAGACTGTTGTGCTATTGCATATGAATCTTTACATCTCCTCAGAAATAGACGTAAAGGAAGAGTGGGTCTGGCAGCTTTAAAGATTGATATTAGTAAAGCCTATGATCGTATGGAGTGGACTTACCTTGAAGGTATTTTGCGAGCAATGGGATTTGACATGCATATGGTTTCCCTTTTGATGAGTTGTGTCACAACAGTTACTTATACAATTCGATATCGGGACAAGAGTATTGGGCCTATTATCCCTGGTCGGGGCATTCGACAGGGAGATCCTATATCCCCTTATCTTTTTATTATTGGAGCAGAAGGTTTGTCACGATTGATTCAATACGAGGTGAACAGGGGTACTATTACAGGATGTAGAGTGGCCCGTGGTGCCCCCTCTATTAGCCATCTCTTCTTTGCTGATGATAGCCTTCTCTTTTTTAATGCCACTATGAGTGAGGCTCAGAAGATTCAACAGCTCTTACAAGTATATGCGATTGCTTCAGGCCAGGTAATTAACTTCACTAAATCTGTCATTTGTTTTAGTCCTAATACCGAAAGAGCTGTTCAGGGAGCTATTTGTTCTACACTGGGTGTTCAAGAGAGTAATGATTTGGGTCGGTACTTGGGTTTACCCTCAGCCATTGGTCGTAATAAAAGAGAAGTTTTGAACTACATTAAAGATAGAGTGTGGAAGCGAATTTCTACTTGGAAGAACAAATTTTTGTCTCAGGCCGGGAAGGAGATACTATTAAAGTCTGTGCTCCAAGCGATTCCCACCTATGCTATGTCACTTTTCCTGTTGCCTAAGTCTCTCTGTACGGACCTGGAACAGATGATGGCGAGATTCTGGTACAGTAAAGATAAGCAAATTTCTAAGAGTATTCACTGGATGAGTTGGGAAAGGTTAAGTCGTCATCGATTTTCAGGTGGGCTCAATTTTAAAAAGGTGCACGAGTTTAATATGGCTATGCTGGGGAAGATGGCATGGAAGTTTTTAACTCAACCTAACCTTTTGGTTTCTAAAGTTTTCAAAGCTAAATATTTTCGTGATTGTAGTTTTCTTGAGGCTCAGATTGGCTCTAACTCAAGCTTTGTTTGAAAGAGTATATTTGCAAGTAAAGATTTGTTGCGTACGGGCATACGTTGGAAGGTTGGGCCGGGCACTAATATTAACATTTGGGAGGATCCATGGCTGATGGACAAGGAAAACCCTTTCATTACTACAGAGAATCCAGGGAGCACTGCGCTAATGCGAGTAAGTGATCTCCGTTCAGGTAATGGTTGGGATTGGCCGACTATTGATGCCATCTTTAATGCTAGAGATCGTTAGTGCATTCAAGCTATCCCGTTGACAGGATCATCAAGCAATGATATGTTGATTTGGGCCCATGATAAATCTGGTATTTACATAGTGAAGAGTGCCTACAAGGCATTAACTTGGGATGCTACGGTGGTAGGTCACGGGATGGACCGAGCGCTTTGGAAAAAGTTATGGGCGGTTCGAGTTCTCCCCAAGGTACGCAATCTTATTTGGAGGGCAGCTAATAACATTCTTCCATGTATTAATATTTTGGTGACAAGAAGGGTGACTGTTCAAGATGTTTGTCCGCTTTGCCATACTTCTAAGGAGACAGTTTTGCATATTTTTGTACATTGCCCATTCGCACGCCAAGTTTGGGGTGCTTCTTTCTTGGGTTGGTATGCTCCAGTTGTGGGATCTTTCCATGACTGGCTTTTAGCTGTCTTGAATTAATTTAATGAATATGATAAGGGCTTAGCGCTCCATCTTCTTTGGATGATCTGGTCGGCGCGTAATGCAAAGGTATGGAAGGGAGTGAGACGCTCTCCCATGGAGGTCTGGACGCGGACGTATAGGGACTATGAAGACTGGTGGAGGATGGCTCCCCCAAAGAATTCTACGTCGACTAATCTTAGAGTTGAAACTGGTGCAACAAATGGATGGGAAAGGCCACCAGTGAGTTATTTAAAGGTGAACGTGGATGCTTCATCAGGACTTGTTGATAGGTATGTGGGCCTGGGATTTATTGCGCGAGATTATGAAGGCCGATTCGTAGCTGCTAAGAGTATTAAATGTAGAGGGAGTTTTGGTCCACGAGAAGCAGAAGCTATCGCAGTTAAGGAAGCACTTAGTTGGATTAAAAGTAAAGGCTGGAAACAAGTCCTTGTGGAAACAGACTGTAAAGAGGTGGTCGATTCACTTAATAGTGCTATCAAAGACTGGTCTTACTTTAATTCTATCATTGAAGATTGTAAGCGTCTCCAAATTCTCTGTGCAGGAGACCTTAGATTTCGTTTTACTCCTCGTTCCGGTAACGAGGCAGCGCATTTCTTAGCGCGTAGACGGCGTAGTAGTTGCTATGATGATGTTTTAGGGGAGTGGCTTGACACACCAAACTTTATTCCCTTGGTTTCCTAATTTAATGGCTTGATTTCAGAAAAAAAAAAGAACATTTGAGAATTGAGATGAGTTGTGCATGTGATTATAATAAGTGAGGGGATATTAATGTGAGGTCCATATCCGCCCCCCCAAAAGGCACTATTTAGATGGGGTTGTGCGTGTGTGGGCATTGTATTGAGTTGGGAGCGTGCGGTTGAGGAAGAGATAGCGGATGGATTTGGTAACTAGGGTTTTGCTGGGAGAATCCGTTCTGAGATTGGGCATGATGGTAGGATTGTCGTTTGAAGATCTCAAAGCTCAGAGATTCAGGGTTCGATTTCTAGCTCTCTCTCTCTCTCTCGATGATCCTCCCGCTGGTATGCCATTTTCTGTTAAGCATGTACGCATCTCTCTCATCTTTTCCCTCTTATATTGTTGTTCTTATTCGTTTCTGTTGTTAATTGCAGTGAATTCCTCTTTTTTTTTTTCTCTCTCTAATTTATGGCTGTTATGAACAGAGCAATGTTTTCTGGGAGTTGATTAGAAATACTCCCTTTAATGAGTCTGCTCCATTGGCTACATGCCTTTATTTTTGAACAGTCATTTTAATCAGATGCTCTTGCCTTTCCTATCCTGTGATTATGTTGCCTACTCTTCGAAGTAGGGACGATGAGTTTGTGACAGGGAAGGGTATTGATTGGATTGAGAAAAAGAACTCTACAGATTGAAAAAGTTGTAATGGATAAACTACACCCAAAGATGAAATTGATGCCGATAATTAGGGATGACAATTCAACCCGAACTCGAGCTTAACCGACCCGACCGACCATTAAAATATCCGAACCCGAACCGAGAATAAAATAATCCGAACCCGACCTGAATTTTTTTACCCGAACCCGACATCGGGTCTAGTCGGGTGTGGATTTATTATTTTACCCGACCTGAACCCGCACCCGACCCGACTCAAACCTGAATATTTTATAACATAAAAGCCTATCTATGAATATAATGAGTACTCCGTATAATCTCTTGATAAAGTGCTACTATATCAAGTATGCCTTTTATAATCATTTTTATAATTTCTTAATAAAAAAATGAGACAAAAAAATTAGATGTAATCTTTTTAAAATTATTGGGGTACGCCAAATTGATTATTAGTTAAAAGTCGGGTTCGGGTTTCTTGTTGGAATGTCGTGTTCGGGTCGGATTCGGGTTTTGGCTTAAAAAGTCGGGTTTCGGGTCGGGTTTGGGTTTCGGTTTTTAAAGTCGGGTTGGGTTCGGGTATAGTACTATCCGACCCGAACCCGACCCGTTGCCATCGCTACCGATGATGGATATGTGTGAGAGTCATATGTTTATGCTTTATTTTGTTGAGCTGTAACATCTTTTCCTTTTTGCTACATGTAGACAACAAAGAGAATCGCGATGGAAGCAACTTTGGAGGGCATTTGCTCTGAGGAGATGCAAGGACGATAGGCCATGTTTCTAGATAAATTGTGCATTTGGTTTTGTCTCGAGTCAGGTATCTGATATTTGGTACTCTTTTCATGTCCACTTTACTCCAAATTTTCATATTATTTTTTAAATGTTGAGTTGTTTTAAAAGCCCAAATCTTAACATTCACATAATGCAAACAACGACTGGGTATGTATTCATGCGTATCCTAACACCACTGACACCTAATGGAATACTTGGCATTCATGCTAATTATGAGCATGTACCAAGGTGTGAACTGTGAAAAGTATACATACTATCCCTCAGGATCTCAGGAGGCACTATTGCCTCAAACCAACATTAACCCTGCAAAAGCCAGGTATCTCTAACTACTGATCCTGGAGTCCTGGACCATGGTTATTATGCCTACGATGGCAACCTATGCACAGGTGAAGCTCACTGTTGACTAAAACGAGTCAAAACCTTGCACGAGTTAGAGATTCTTGAAGAATTTCAACTCTACATCATTAAGGAGCTTTTGATGGGGTTACTTGGGTATGGTAGGAGCACACGAAAAGAAACTAGATGACTCACCATCTTGGGCCAGATTTTGTGAAAGAATTTATCGATTAGAAAGTACAAATTTCACAAATCTGACAGAAGTGTTTAATAGTGATTCAAATTCATTTTCTTTTACATAAAGTAATAAAAGAAAAAAAAGTGAGTTGTTTTAAAAATCTATATTAAGCTTCTTTTAAAGAAAAATTATATAAGCTTCTCTTTTGAAATAATAAAAAAGATACGTGGATTAAATAAAATATTAGAAAAATTAATATAGTTGAGTGCATATTGGAATGCTTAGAAATTTGAATGTTTTAGACAACATTAATATTTTTTGAATGCAGTAATATTGGAGAACTGACATTTGTTTGTTATTCTCACCAGCTGGACCAGTTGCCCCCTTTTTTATAAATAGATTTGTACTCATTTTTATGCACATGACTTTTACGCAATAAAAGAAAATTCTTGTGTGCTTTCTCGTTGAAAATTGTGTTTCTTCAAAAATTTTAGAAAAAGTTGACGTGGGTAAAATGAAAAATGAATATTTAGGAGGATATATGTCTAAACAAAAAAAGAGAGAATGTAAAAATGGAAGAAATGAGAATGATGCGGAGAATGGCTGGAGATGAAACCGACTAGATAAAGCAATGATGGGTACGGGTTATTGTGGGAAGGTGTCAAAAGTACAGTTTGGAAAGCCCCCTTGAGTCAGCAATAAAGTAAAGAGAGGTAGTGCAAGAAATTCATGAGTTTATATAGTTACAGAACAATACAGTTTGAGATCCGGCCCACTTCCCATTTGGAATATTTATGCATGCATGCCTTATAGACCAAACTTGCATCACCAGTCTTTTTTGCCACCTCCACGGCTCCACTTGAGTCACCAATTGCCTTCATATCTTCTTTCTCCATCAGATCCTTCAACCTAAAAGCAAATAAGGCAAACATTCAAATATGATATTGCAAAAAAAAAAGAGAGACAATTTCACTGTAAAACTCTATGGGGAGCATTCGTGCACCCATGGTAGCACTCATTTGGGGCACCCTATCATGATCCTAATAGAAAATAATAAAAGAGGGAGACTTTTTCCCCTCTTCTTTAGATTTTAAATCTTATACATGTAGTGGTAGTGCCGTGGTGGTGGACACTATCCTAATCCTCTGCCAACAAAAATAAAGTGAGCACGAGGCAAGGTTATGGATGGTCGGATGCTCGCCATCACTGTGCCGCCACCTAGCAGCCAAAGCCCTCTCCGTCTCTGGACGCATCCGCCATCATCGATGTCGCATCTTTGCAATCCTTTGCCATTCCATCCCTGCCTCCGGCGTCCCAGGCCTACTGCCACATGCACATTCATCTCAGCCGCCCCTGCCTTACTGCTGCCGCGTGCATCTCCGTTCCGAGCGTCAGATCCATGACGCCGTTTTACCAGTCCTGCCGCAGGTTCCACCATCCGAATTTCTAGGTTTGATATTTCCCCTCTTTCCAAGTTCTTGAATTCCTACTTTCGTGTAATTCTATTTGGCCTAAATAATGCGTTTGATACTAGTTTTATTGTTCAAACAACGAATTTGACAGTTTTATCTAGCTTAAATTTGAATTTGAATCAGGTTTTGAGCAACTATGTTTTGTTTTTTTTGAAATCCAGTTTTATCTATCCAGTTTTCTTTAGCTCTATGTAACAAGCTCTTTATTGAAATAAGTAACATTCAAATTGACACTTTTTATTATCTACAGAGTAATAAATGCATTCAATGTAGTTCCTTTTGTTGAAATAAGACTTTGTGTTTGAACAAAAGGGCTTATAAAACTTTACTTCCCTTTTGGGACTAAGAGAGTACTTATATGAGATCGATGAGTTAAGCTGTGTGGGTTTCATCTACTTGACTTCTCTTGCTCTAATTTCAGGTGTGTTAAGGATAGTCAATAATTTTGGTTAGTGCTAAACCATTTGATGGACACAGCTTCTACCACCAAATTTGAACACGTTGCCTTGACACAAAGTGGTAGCAGTTTATCTTTGATTCATCCCCCCTTTTCACCTCAAACCTCCGGTAAGAATTATGTTAACAACATGATAAAGCCTCACAGAACCTAATTCATTACAGCTAGTATTTACTTTTAATCTCTTTAAAAGTAAATGTTTGAAGCCCTGAGGCTTCACGAGTATTTCCACTGCTCTAAAAATTAAGCACTCCCTTCAATACGATCGATGAAATATTATTTCAACAGAACTAGCCAGTTCGATGTTTATTATTAGTACATATAATAACACAATTAATGATATAAAATATGATAAAATTAAGAGGGTAGCAGTGCTGTAAATTAAGCCTTTTTAATATTCTTTCATTGCAATCTTCTTCCACTCATTCAAATCGCTTTTATGCTTTTTAATTGTGCATGCTCTCCTACTTTCCTGCATAGGTTTATGATATGTGAAATTTACACTAAATAGGACTAAAACATAATGACTTTTCTAATGTAGGACTAAAACTTTTTATTCCCTAAATAGGACTTAATAATGACCTTGTGGGAGAAATAATGTTCAGTAGACATTTACTTGAATAATGACTACTTGATAATGATCAAAAGTCTTACATTGAAAAATAAAAACATATAGTTCTATATTGGGAAAGTCATTATGTTTTATTCCTATTTATGTAAATTACTCTTATGATATTTTATTCTAACATTGATAGTTTAAAGTTGAAATTACCCTCAAGGATTTTGTATTCTGCATGCTTGTAGCGCGTTGATCAAATGAATCTGAAATTTAAAATCCTTTATATATAATATTTGGGAGTTAAACTTCTAGAATGTCGACATTTGTCATGCTGAGTGGACAAAATTTTTAACAGCTCATATGTCATGTCATCAATGTCATGAATGTACCTATTGGGCTTTTTTACCAAATCTATTGGGCTCTCATCAATGTCATGAATTTAAGATAATAATTTTTTGACACAAATTTGATAATTTTGTCAAAGCTATTAATGGAAAATAATTATTTTAAAATGGAAAATACTAATTTTAAAAAGAAGCATATTTTTATTAGAATTAGAATATTTTTTACTATATACAAAAAATATTTAATGTTCTATTAAATAAACATGCCATTAAAAGTTCCTTTCTTTTTATATATTAGTTTTTATTTTTATGAAATTGTTAACTAATGTATTAAAAATTAGTTTATATAAAGATTATTAATAATAATAATAGTAATAATAATCTTATAATTATTATTGGTGTTACTATTATTATTAGTATTATTATTACTATTATTTTGGTTATTATTATTATTATTATTTATATTATTAGTATTATATATATATATATATATATATAAAATAGTAATAATAATCTTATAATTATTATTGGTGTTACTATTATTATTACTATTATTTTAGTTATTATTATTATTTATATTATTAGTACACTATTTTTTATGATAAAAATTACATATACAGATGGAAAATTACATTCATTTGGATACAGCCTTATATCTACTCGCAAATGAACCGTTTTCCCCCACTAATCCAGTAACTAACATTCCTTTGTCTAGAGTCCATTAGTCTAGGCAGGCCATACTAATGTAAGGCTCCGGAAATGCCCTTTCTTGGGACAAAAGTAAAAAGTGGATAATCGACCTCAAGCTCTTCAAAGAGTCTATCCTGGGCTTTTTTTCACCTTTTGTATAGCCTCAAACTTTTGCACCTCTAGATTGTACAAGGCGTCAAACACACTCAACATCTCCTTATAAGCGTTGTTTGATTTTAAGCTCTCCATGAAGAAATTTGGGTCAATCCTGGAAAAAAGTGAATAATGGTCATATCAAGAAACCAATTTTGATGGAAAATGAGGCTAGATCAAAAAACCAATTGCATCAACCAAGAATAACAAACAGGAAGACACTTTCATCAACGAAAGAAAAATAAACAAAATAACCTTTTTCATCAACCAAGGAACAAACAGAATAATAAACAAAGTACCTACCTTTGTGGTGCATTATCATCTGTTGAAGCACTTTCACCAACACGTTTTTGGAGTCTTTCCAAAGCACTTTCATCAACACGTTTTTGGAGTCTTTCCAACCTCTCTTTGATTTTCTCTAATGGTTCCCCATAAAATGCTGTTACAGTATTCATTATCTCCCCAGCAAGGATTTCTTTGTCTTTCGAAGGCTCTTTGGTGTTCATTGCTCTCTCAGCTTCATATTTCGATTTCCATTTCATCGCCTCATTTATTTTCAACAATTGTTCCATGATTTTTCGGTTTTTTTCCGCAATTTGTTTTTCTTGTTCTGCTATTGCATTCTGTAATTGAGAAATCCTCTGATCTCTAAAGCTAACTTGGGAATGATGTTGACCTGTTGTTGAGTATAGTTGTCTTTCAAGCGACTGTGCTAGATTATAGTGGTAGGCGTTTAGCTTGTTGATTCTTAGATATTCATTGTTGAGGTGTTGATTCTGTCCTGTGAGTGCTTCATTCACTCTCTTAAAGTCTTCAATCACACTTTTGAGGGTTTCAACTTGCAGCTGAAGTGCAGCAAGTTGTTGAGCTTCATCTACAGCCATGAGGTGTTGAAGAAGCACGAGATTCACATGTAACGTTTGCAAATACAAAGTTCCATGAAATGGAATTTAATAATAAAATGTGACATAACTCCTGCAACATCCCAATTAAGAGGAAGTGAATCTCCTAGCCACCTCATCAGTTTTAAAAATGTGAATAAGATTCTCACATTTTTTAATAGTCTACATTATCCAAAAATGCACAAAATACAAAGCTCAAGTTTACAAAAATAAAAATATAATTTGATATAAGTACATATTTCTTATCCCCTCCCGCAAAGGGAAAGAAATCACCAATCATTGTCACCGGTCTTAGTTCCCAAAAAAAACATCCCAAAAGACTGTAAAGCAAATAACACAAAAAAGAGCACATGAAAAGAAAGATATGACGTGAGAGGAAACTGAAACTAAGAGAAATTCACCCGTCTTACCCATTAACCATGAGAACAACTCTATCCCCACGTGTGATCGGGACATTTGTGGTTTCCTGCAAAGACAATTAAATTTTTCAATGTAACTCACATGATGCCATTGTTAAAATAAATAGCAAGAAGGATGACTCAACTTTGTTTGAAATCCATATTAAATGATACAGATTGTTAAGGCTTTATGATCATATCCAAGCCAACAATTTGGGTATAGTTAAGGATAAATCTGAGGAAATATGCAATTTTTAGAGAAATATTTTTTCCAGAAGACTCAGAACAACATTATATTAAAGACAACAACAACAACAACAACAACATTACCCCAGTGCCTCAACCGCTCCCGCCCATTGCAGGGTTGGGGGGTCGGATGTATGCAGTCTGAGCCCTATGTTTACTATTGGCAACTACCAGTTTCCCGACCAAGCCTGTAAAAGGTGACCATATGATCCAAGTCATATCGGCAAACAAATTCTGGTACTTCGCTGTATTTCACCAAATGCTTGATATCATAAATATTTGTTCCAAAATATCCACCAAGCAAATACATGAAGGCTTTCAAGCTATCAGGAAGTGGCGTGTCTTGATTAACATATTTGACAAGGAAAGCAAGATTAGGTATGCTGTGAAAGCAAACAAATTTGAGATCGCCGTGGTTATTCATCGATATATGTCCAAAGAATACTCCAAAAGTAGCCGGCGATACTCCTAGTCTTGGATGAACATTCAAATCAATCTTTTTCTTTAACATTTTAAGTGACTCTGAATCGAACAAATCTGATGCTTCATCAAAACCTCTAAGGTTTATTTGCCATGCAACATGATTCCCGTCCAGCCCCAAAGACAAATGTCCTTGCTCGTTGCTCAAAGAAAGACCAACTTGTACCATCTTGACTTTGTCAACATTCACTTTCTTCTTTATATATAAGGCCTCAGACGCAAGAACTGTCCAATCATCTTTTACTAAAGCTATCGCAAGTCCAACAAACTCAATGTCAAATAAGACATGAGTGTATTTTTCTTTGATGGCTTTTTCAATCAACTTAAATTCAAACACCATGTTGTGTTCCCATATTTCCTTGATAGCAACAATGGTAAGACATCTTCTGTAAGACTACACATCAAACTGTCAATGTACGTGAAATATGAGAACACAACATGGTGTTTGAACAAAAGATGATTAGACATTTCTTGCGTTGAGACCTTATATCTAAAGAAGAAAGTGAATGTTGACAAAGTCAAGATGGTACAAGTTGGTCTTGCTTTGAGCAACGAGCAGGGACATTTGCCTTTAAGGCCGGACGGGAATCATGTTGCATGGCAAATAAATCTTAGAGGTTTTGATGAAGCATCAGATTTGTTTGATTCAGAGTCACTTAAAATGTTAAAGAAAAAGATTGATTTGGATGTTCATCCAAGACTGGGAGTATCACCGGCTACTTTTAGAGTATTCTTTGGACATATGTTGATGAATAACCACGGTGATCTCACATTTGTTTGCTTTCACGGCATAACTAATCTTGCTTTCCTTGTCAAATCTGTTAATCAAGACAGGCCACTTCCTGATAGCTTGAAAGCCTTCATGCATTTGCTTGGTGGATATTTTGGAACAAATATTTATGATATCAAGCATTTAGTGAAATACAACGAAGTACCATAATTTGTTCGCCGATATGGATTGGATCATATAGCCACCTTTTACAGGTTTGGTCAGGAAGCTGGTAGTTGCCATTAGGGTGGATCTGATGCCTTGATTACGTTAAAATTAATTTGGTACTTAAAACAAAATAACAACATACACAAAGACACCTTTGAAGAGCATAAAAGACTTTTGTAGGGAATAGAGTTTTACAGTGAGATTCTCTCTCTTTTTTTGCAATATAATATCTGAATGTCTGCCTTATTTCCTCCATTTAACTCTCATCTAATAGGTATTTTTGACAAGACTATTTAAGAACACATCTCAATTACAAAGGACCGTGTTGGTAATTATTTTTTATTGAAAACTAATTTGGAAAAACATCTTATTAAAAAGGAGCATTTTGAGAACTTACTCTTTATTTAATTTCTTAGCTACTAAATATAAGTTATAACATGACATCTTGATATGCAAATGTTCTTTTTAATGACTATACACCAAGCTGTCAATGTATGAAATCTGGGAGCACACCTTGATGTCTGAGTTCAAATTGATTGAAAAAGCCATCGGTAAAAAAACACTAATATTTCACTTGACATGGAGTTTATTGGAATGCCAATAGCTTTAGAAGAAGACAATTGGAGATTTCTTGCATCTGAGCATTATATTTTAAGATAAAAGTAAATGTTGATAACGTAAAGATGGTACAAGTAGGACTTGTTTTTAGCAACGAACATGGATATGTGCCTTTGGGTCGGCCAGGAACCATGTTGCACTTTAAGTAAACTTTAGAGGTTTTGATGAAAGATCAGAGTTGTTTGATTCAAGGTCACTTGAGTTGTTAAGGGAAATGTCGATTTTGATTTACATTCAAGAATGAGAGTTTTTACAGTTGTTTTATAAGTATTTTTAGGCGTATGTTGATAAATAACCATGATATCACATTTGTTTCCTTCTATGAGCATAAATGATCTTGCATTCAGGTGAAGTCAATTAACCAAGATAGGTTACTTTTTGATAGCTTGAAAGGTTTATGGATTTGTTTGGTGGATATTTTGGAACAAATATTCACGATGTCAAGCATTTGGTGAACTGTTCGTCAATGAAGGTTGGATCGTGTGGCCATTTTCTACGGACTTGGTTGGGAAGCTGGTTGTAGCCACCAAAGTGCATCTGATGCTTTGATCGCATTAAGACTATTTTGGTACTTGAAATATAACAATAAAATACACGAAGAGACCTTCGAGAAGCATAAAGAACTTCAGTGAGGAATGAAGTTTTATGTTGTTTTTCGAATGTCTCTTCGTGTATTTTGTTGTTTTATTTCAAGTACCAAAATAGTCTTAATGTGATCAAAGCATCAGATCCACTTTGGTGGCTACTACCAGCTTCTCGACTAAGTTCGTAAAAGCTGGCCATACGATCCAACGTGCATCGACGAACAAATTCTGGCACTTTGCTATAGTTCACCAAATGCTTGATATCATAAATATTTGTTCTAAAATATCCAATAAGTAAATGCATGAAGCCTTTCAAGCTTTTGGGGAGTAGCCTGTCAATTGACTTCACAGGGAATACAAGATCATTTATGCGTGGAAGCAAACAAATGTGAGATTGTTATGGTTATTCATTAACATGCGTCTAAATAATGCTATAAAAGTAACCGGAGATACTCTCTTGAATGTGACATTGAATCAAACAACTCGGGTCTTTATTCAAAATCTCTAAAGTTTACCTGTTATGCAACATGGTTCCTGTCCGGTTCCAAAGGCAAGACCTACTTAAATCATTTTCAAGTTATCAACATTCACTTTCCATACTATACTTGGTTGGTTCCTTCTCCAGCGATTCTCCACATTGTTCTCGTTAATTGATTTTAAATTTGATTTATTTGAGTTCAATAATATATATTGATAAATATTTATTTTTCATTTTATCCACGTTAAATTTATCTAAAATTTCTCATACCTTTTTCAAATGAAAAACTCACAATTTTTCAGAAACCAAAAAATAATTAACTACAAACTATTGATTACTTAATGAACCTTTTTACGTAGTGTTTTCCCAAAGTAGTTCATCTTCAAAATTAAATACGGTCCTCAATACTCAACAACTACTTGGTACAGTAATTATTTACTCAATTGTTTGTGAAACTGTCATTAAGGTCCAATTACTAATTATTTACTCAACTATTTGTATACTCATGCTTCGTACACATGATAATGATATGTGTCGCACACATGATTATCATGTGTGTCATCTATGGGGAGCATTCGTGCGCACCCATGGTAGCACTCATTTCGGGGCACCCTATCATGATCCTAATAGAAAATAATAAAAGAGGGAGACTTTTTCCCCTCTTCTTTAGATTTTAAATCTTATACATGTAGTGGTAGTGCTGTGGTGGTGGAGACTATCCTAATCCTCTGCCAACAAAAATAAAGTGAGCACGAGGCAAGGTTATGGATGGTCGGATGCTCGCCATCACCGTGCCGCCACCTAGCAGCCAAAGCCCTCTCCGTCTCCGGACGCATCTGCCATCATCGATCGATGTCGCATCTTTGCAATCCTTTGCCGTTCCATCCCTGCCTCCGCCGTCCCAGGCCTACCGCCACGTGCACATTCATTTCAGCCGCCCCTGCCTTACTGCTGCCACGCGCATCTCCATTCCAACCGTCAGAGCCATTATGCCGTTGTACTACACCTGCCGCAGGTTCCACCATCTCAAATTTCTAGGTTTGATATTTCCCCCCTTTCCAAGTTCTTGAATTCCTACTTTTGTGTAATTTTATCTGGCCTAAATAATGCATTTCATACTAAGTTTTATTGTTCAAACAACGTGTTTGACAGTTTTATCTAGCTTAAATTTGAATTTGAAACAGGTATTGAGCAACTGTGTTTTGTTTTTTTTTTTTTGAAATCCAGTTTTGAGCAACTATTTCAAGTACTGTGTAGAGTTGGTATTAATATGATTGTCTTTAGCTCTTTATGATAAAACATTCAAATTGACACTTTTTACTATCTACAGAGTAATAAATCCTTTCAATGTAGGTCCTTTTGTTGAAATAAGACTTTGTGTTTGAACAAAAGGGCTTATAAAACTTTACTTCCCCTTTGAGACTAAGAGAGTACTTTTATGAGATTGATTAGTTAAGCTGTGTGGGTTTCATCTACTTGACTTCTCTTGCATATAATCTCAGGTGTGTTAAGGAAAAGTCAATTATATTGATTAGTGCTAAACCATTTGATGGACAGATTATCCACAAGGAATGTGAATACATGACACCCTCCTTCAAGGTGTCATGGCTGTTCAATGAAAAGGAGTGAACTAGTTCTTCCAAATGCAGCACTTACACTATGTTTGGTTCAAGGATTTTGGAAGGAAAAGAAAAGGAAATGATTTTCTCACACTTTCCGCATTAAAATGGAAGAAATTTGGTTTTTCCCTTCTTTTTATATATTTTGCCTTCTTAATTTCTTTTCCTCCCACTTTTCCTTTCTAACCAAACAACAAAATCAGTTTTTCACTTCATTTTCTTTTCTTTTCCATTTCAAAATCCTTGTACCAAACATAGGGTTAGTTTATCTCTGATTCATCCACCCTTTTCACCTCAAACTTCAGGTAAGAATTATATTTACTTGATAAAGCCTCACAGAACCTAATTCATTACAGCGGGAATTTACTTTCAATCTATTCAAAAGTAAATGTTTGAAGCCCGAGGTTTCACGGTTATTTCCAGTGCTCTAAGAATTAAGCATTGTACTCCCTTCAATACGATCGATCAAATATTATTTCAACATTACTAGCTAGTTCGATGTTTATTATTAGTACATATAATAATATAATTAATGATATAAAATATGATAAAATTAAAGGGTATATGTATGATATATCCAGTAGTGGAGCGATCGAGTTTAGTTTACATGTCACGTTTAACTTGAAACACGGGCGAGTTATTGTCGGGGGATGGTACGATGACAATTTTATGAAGCTTGGCCTCTTTCCCCAATTCCCTCCGCATGAATGAAATGACCTCTGCATCTATTGTCTCCCCAGGAAATGCTTGTATAATTAGCCTATTATTTGCGTAATCCCTTCTCACTTCCCTCAATCCTGCATTCATATATATATATATATATATATATATATATATATATATATATATATATATATATATATATATATATATATATATATATATATATATATATATATGTATGTATGTATGTATGTATGTAAATTCAATTTGTTTTTTGCAAATATGTACTTAAATTTAATGAAAAAAAATATTCTGTACCCTCCATCCCCTATACATTTGAGAAGATCTACGCGGATGGAGTGAGTAATAATTAAAGTTATAATGTTCTGTATATGTTTTGATTATAAAAGTATAATAAACATGAACTTATTAGTTATCACTAAAAGGAATGTAGATCGATGAACAGAGGTGTTATACAACCCCGAGATCCCGAATTATGCAAGGGGTATCCCATTTTTTCGAGCACATTCTCACAGATAATTATTGTTCTTGTTTGACTACTATTTTTTTTAGCAAAACTACTCCCTGTGTTCCAAATTAATTCACCTTATTTTTTTGGGTCGTCACAAATTAATCTTTCTCTTTCCTTTTTTGGGAAGCTATTAGGGGCTCATTTTTTTTGCTCCTCTGAATCACATTCAACTACACAATTTCATTTTTTAAACTTCGTGCAACATGCAATGTAATCTTTGTGACATGTCTAGTTTGTTTGTGTTCCAAATGTTTAACTAACTATATTGAAAAAATTCTTTTAATATATTTTTTAAAATTTCTTTTACAAATATAGTTTAAGAAATATTATTGGAAAACATTTAACTCAAAAAAATCACACTTTGACCAAAAAAACCAAACTAGAATAGAGAGATACCATTGAAGTATCTAAAAAGGAGGGTGGACATGTCTTTGCAACCATTGCACTCGCAGAATTTGACGTCAAACTCCATCGATTGCATTGTCATGGTGTCACACACCCACATACGTTGTATTGATCGATTAATAATTAACTCTATTAATTACTTTGTAAATTATAAACAAGTAATTTTTTCCCTGAAAAAAATATAAGCAATTTTTTTTGTGGGCAACTTGAAACAAATGGTTTTTTGTTGAGACTTGAGAGATTTCGTAGCAATCTACGTTCAATTCTAAACCATATATATGCACACATATATTCATGCATGCGTGCGTATCACAAGCCATTAATTAACAACTCTTTCATGCATGTTTCTTTAAATGCTATAGAGTCTATGATAATGTAATATCTATTTATAAATTTTTTTAATTTAATGATGCACAAATAGTCAATGCTTGCGTCTATATAATGTTCGAACTTGAGTGAACTTTCTCTTGAATCTTGAGAAGTGAGCTCGTATATACGATTAACAACACAAAAAATGTCATTTTCAAAAATTCAAGCTACATCAATTAATGGAAAAAGCATGACTATATTACAAATATTGTAATATTTTTACCATTAAGGAGTATGTTATATATATTTTCACGTGTACATTATTTATAATATAGTTTTAAAAAGAATAGATTTTATTATTAGTCTCTAATTGTAGGTAAGTTTCTATATTTATTCTTCAATTCTGAGATATTATTTGTATATAAATAGTCTTCAATTTTCAAAAACTATTCCGTAATTTGTTCTTCAATAACTATGTGGAAGTTTTTTTATTTCATATTTGGTCAAGAAGACTATTTATGGAATACTTTTCAAAAATAGAAAACCTTTTATGTAATATCCCCTCCGTGTCAAATTAAATTTCCATTCCTTTTTGTGTTAGCCCAAATTAGTTCTCCTATGCATCCCCCCGGAGTATAATTCCATTTTTTCTTAAATTTCAGACAAAGTCAAACTAGAAAATTTAATTTGTGATGTAGAATTTTGTTTAAAATTGGAAATTAAAGACTATTTATAGAATTACTATTTAAAAATGGCAATTGATATGTGCACTCCACATTTGGTTAATGGCACTCCACCTTTTGTAATCTTTTTCTATATAGACAATAATACCCTTTTAAATGAATGCGGAGAAATAGAGACCATCGCGTCATTAATTGAAGAATGCTAAATTGCTATTTTTAAAAAGGATTATGCTATGTGTACACCAAGATTTGTACCCCAATTTGTACCCCGCAGTTTTGCACCAACATTTTGTGTTGGTGTAAAACTAATTTTTGTTAAACGCACCAACATTTGTGTCCGTGTGAATTTTTATTAACGCACCAACACTTGTGTCGGTGTAAACCATCGAAATGTTTGTGTAAAAATGTGGTGTACAAATAGGGTATATTTGTTGGTGTAAGTGTAGCATGGTCTTTTTAAAAAAATGGAAGAGCACAAAGGAGTACATTCGTATATCAACAATAGTGGTGGGCTCAAAGAATAATGATTAACAACCATTTGCATGCTTTTATCTTGTTTTTTTGTCACAAAAGTTAACTTTCAACATTTTTAAATTTTATTAATTTGTTCCAATTTCTTCTAATTTTTTTCAACTATTCTGAATTTTTCCAACTCTTTACATTTTTTTTCAACTACTTAAGAAATATATTTACATATGATAAATATACAATAACATCATATATTCAAATTTATAACATACAATCTCAAACACATGCAAAGACGAACTTTTTTATTCAAAATTATTTTTTTTACATATTTATTTGAGTGTTCATTTAATTAAATGAATTTTAATACTTGCTTTCCTAACACTTTCCAACTATTATTGAAGAATAATTCTTACTCCCTACTACCTCTGTCTCTTAATATTTGTCCAGTTTTAACTTTTTCCGGTCAACCTTTGACCTCTAATTAAATAATATTGTTTTTTAATTAGATAAAATAATATTTTGAAAATATTTGATATAATAAATCAAATAAAACTATTTTTGTATCAATATCTAATATAATTTTTATTTAATCACATTATTTATCCATTTTTGCTACTCAGTTGGTAAAATAAGTAGTCTTGCCTGATTTGTAAAACTCTTGATTTAGTTTTAAAATATACTCCATATAAATTTACTCCGTATTCTTTAATTCTACACCAATTTTTAAATAAAATGATCATAAAATATTTTTAGTTAAACATCATAAACAATATGCAATTTAAATTGAGACGGAGGAAGTATGAAAAAACAATTAAGAAGAAATGAACACTCATACGCTAAAAATACAAGAACATAAACCATTTGCAAAATTAAGTTAGGCACTTCGGCATGGGCACACATAGTAGTATTGTACCAACTTGAAAGGCTATTGCTGTCATTTTCAGAAAATATAGAGACGAGTGGAGCGCCTTTAGAAATATACAAGCATGATTTTATATTAGATGAAACCCGCGGCCCAAAACGATTTAAAATACCTCATTACTTACTTTTCACTGCATAAATTCAACGAGTCTCCTCATTTTACCAACCAAATTATTAAGGGACCGTTTCGCAATGGTATATTTAAGGTTTTTAAACACTAAAAAAACACTATCTAATGATAATATTCCATTTAATTTTAGTATTTTCATGATTAAATGCCATTGAAATCCTATACTACTCTATACAAAACGATACACAGTAAAACTATGTTCTCTTTTACGTGATCTGATTTATTAGGATATGATTAAAACTATTAATCTGATCTGAATATAATTATATTTAAAGTTAATTTTAATTTGATTTTAATAATAATAAAAAATAATAAGTTAATTTTAAATGCTCCGTATGACTTAAGTGAAAATATTATTTCCAAAAATCATTCTAACCAGAAATCTAATTCGAACTAATTTGTATCAAAACTCAAAAGCAGGCGATCCAGATTACAGAGTCTAGAAACAAAAAAAAATAAATAAATTACTCCGTAGAATAAAAGTAAAAGTCGCCTTAGTTGACCGTTGACGAGATTTCCCTCTTCACTGCGCCGTAATTCAATTATGCAAACGGGTAAAATCTATAATAATATGAAATTCAAAACCAACCCATTTCGTCAAAATCAAAACCTGGATCGGGTACCCCGACGATTATACTCGCCGGAATTTAAGAAAGAAGAAGAGAAAATGCTGAGCGCGGACGGAGAAAACGGCGTCGCCGCCCATCCCAAGTTGCTACCGAAGCGCATAATCCTAATTCGGCACGGCGAGAGCCAGGGGAACAAGGACGACGCCGCCTACACAGTGACCCCCGACTACAAGATCCCGCTGACGGCGGAGGGAATCGAGCAGGGGAAGCGGGCCGGGTGGCGGATCCGGCGAGTTCTCTCGGGCGGCGGGGGGGACTGGAGCGTGTACTTCTACGTGTCACCGTACGAGCGGACGCGGTCGACTCTGCGGGAGATGGGCCGGGCCTTTCCTCGGAAACGGGTCATCGGGGTGAGGGAGGAGTGCCGGATCCGGGAGCAGGACTTCGGGAACTTTCAGGTGACGGAGAGAATGAAGGTGATCAAGGAGACGAGGGAGAAGTTCGGGCGCTTCTTCTACCGGTTCCCGGAAGGCGAATCCGCCGCCGACGTTTTCGATCGCGTTTCAAGTCAGTCAATTTTCCCTTTTTCTCCTTATTAATTCTTTGTGTGCCCCCCCTGCTCCCCTGCTTTCACTCTCAAAGTAACGGTAGTTTCCCATAGTCTTATCTTTAACGATTTTTTTTTAAAAATATATGAGAAAAACAATTGTTAAAAAATAAATTGGTTTTTATATTTTAATTCATTATATATTTTTACATATAGTCAATCAAATGTTTATCAGCAAAACAGACAGTTAAAAATAAAGTGTGGATATCAATATTACTTAATAAAAAATTTAAAAAAAAATTACCCTACAAAGGACTGATAGGTGAAAAATGTACTAAAATATAAACTCAATATTTTTATCTCCAAGATAGAAGTTTGCATCGTGAAGTCGGACTAGCTAGATTAGTCACGGCTAATAAGCCTTGTCAGTCTACTAGTAGACAAAAACAAACAAAACTTGGTATTAATTAAACTCATGGAATGATTAACACATGAATGTGCAGAGGATATTTAATTTACATTATTCGTGTTTTTCGTTGAGTATTTGATAAAATTTAACATTCATGTTATTTGCTGGTTTGTATGATTTTCGATGTAGATTTTAAATACTAGGGGTATGTAATTTATGTTACTAAGCCATTTTAAAATTAGAATAAACTTTAAAGAGTAAGTGATTTGGCTAATATATATATAGTTTTGACTGACTGAATATGAAAGAATGAATGAATAAACATAATGCAGGCTTCTTTGAATCCCTATGGAGGGACATAGACATGCAGAGGCTCCGTGCAGCAGAACAGCAGCAGCAGCACCACCCTATGGCGGGGGACTTGAATCTCGTAATCGTGTCCCACGGGCTAGCGTTGCGGGTGTTCATGATGAAGTGGTTCAAGTGGACGGTGGAGCAGTTCGAGCGGCTCAACAACCTCGGGAACTGCGAGTTCCGGGTCATGCAGCTCGGGAGCGGGGGCGACTACAGCCTCGCCGTGCACCACTCCGATGAAGAGATGCGCGCCTGGGGACTCTCCCCCGAGATGATCGAAGACCAGACGTGGCGGGCTTCTGCCCCCAGAGGGTCTTGGAATGAGAAATGTCCATGGTACCTCGATGCTTTTTTCCACACCCATGCTCAAGAACAAGAAGATGATGATCAAGAACAAGATGAACAAGATCCTTGAGATATTGATGTGCGTGCATGCATGCATGATTTAAGTAACTAGAATTATTATTATGATTATGATTATTATTATTATTATGATTATTGTTATTATTCCATAATTTATTATATTTTGATAAGCTATATCTATGTATCAAATACATATGGTCCAACTGTTGTTGTAATTAAATGTACTCTCGAATCGGAGTTTTTGTTGACTAAACATATGCCTTATGCGTTTTCTTCTTAAATTGATAGAAATTTTTAGCGGTTGTTTATTTATATATAAGGGTATATACACTTCATCATCTAAAATTAGATTGTAATTTCGTATTTGCGAGATAAAGGCTTTCTTTGGTAACAACTTTTTCGATTAGCGTTAGTGTTTTGGATAAAATTTTAATGGTGCAGATTAATTCTGAAAACGCTAACGCTAAAGGTTACCGTCGGATAGCTTTTTCAAAACGCTAACGCTAATCTCTAACGTTGATGCCAAACGGGACCAAAATCTCACATTTTGTAAAATTAATTTAGTTTAAAAATTAGTTCTCCACGTAAGAATAATTAATAAAATTTACATGTCAGAAAATTACGTCAAATATTTTATCAAATAAAATTTACATGTCAGAAAATTACATGTCTTAAATTAGTTCTCGAGTATTTCTATGGTACACCCTGTGTACATATCATTTTTATCTTTTCACATAAATAATATTTTTTATTTTAAAAAAAATAATTATTTTATAAATATATAGGTCTATGGTGGACTTGAGATCCATAGTAGAATTTGTCTATGTTCTCTTTAATTTATTTTTATTCAATTAAAATTAAAAATGTAGTCAGATTTTAATTAATTTGGACCAAAACTAATTATTTAGAATTTTCTAAATAATCTAATCGTATTTTTTAACCATAAAAATAATGATAATTATTAATTAAAATAGTCATTCAATCTTTAGAATTTTCTTTTATTTGACGTTTCCTTCGTCTGGGAGCAGCTGAGCATCAATGGCAGACAAGGAAGAAGAGGCGACCCTTGAGGAGGAGCTGGAGCTTCAACTACGTGAACAGAATGACTCCCTTCGCGACCTCACCGAAGCTCTCTCTTCCGATCCTTCTAATCTCGAACTCATTTCGGTTTGCATCTTTCCTCTAGACCCCCCCCCCCC